GGTAAATATTAAAAACATCCGGATATAGAGCATACAACAATCTAGATATTTGTGGTGGCACCCTACTCGAGTCAGATTTCGCAGTCTCACAGAACCTCATTTCGGCGATTTTAGAGCTCTATAAGCCATCAAATCATAGCAAATCATTTATATTATCCCGGCAGCGTTGTTCGATAACGCTTGCAATCGTTTCTGTGGCTAAAATTGTCTGATATGAATTGATTTCTTCCATAGTGGTACTGTGCCCGGCGAGCTCCCGACAAGCTCCTGGTGCTGACCAATCAGCTACCTCGAAGCTCCTATCGAAGTCGAACGAAGTTATGAGTCGGTCACCTGCTGTTGCCATCTGTTTGCGGGCCAAAGTCCAGAACAGATTACCGAAACATGGTAGAGTACGCCACAATTGTAGATAAAGAACATTAGTGCCAGTGCCATCGAATTCCAAGCCTTCCGGCTTCGCAGCATTTGAGTCAATTTTATAGTTATCTATCTCTTAAGTGTGCTTACTCTATCTCTTGGGTGTGCAGTAAAATCAGAAATCCCGATTAGCTCAGTTGGTAGAGCGCAGGACTTTTAATCCTGTGGTCGCGGGTTCGAGCCCCGCATTGGGAGTTTCTTTTTTTTGCAACGATAATCTTTTTCGCCTTAATGATTTTTTTCGACACAAGCATTCACATTCACGATCGGCTTGACGATCGATGATGATAAATGGTACGTATGCTGTTGGGTGGTGTTGTCCTGCGAGAAGGTAATGGCATCGAGGGAGCTCTTCGGCCAATGTTATCACCATTCGTCTGCACCTACCAATGGGTGCTCTCAGTGTCTAGCGAAAGGCAATCGCAACCTCATGTGCATGGTCTGTCCGGGTGCTCCTTCATATCTTTGATATCTTGGCTGGTTGAAGTAACGCGGGATGTCATGGATCGTAAAGCATGGTGGAGAGGTTTTTGTCGCATCAACAGCAGTCGAACGAGGCTACACCGCCCAGAGCACCACCGTATCACATCTCTTTCTCGATTGGCAATGTTGCAAGGCGGACAGAAGAGTGGAATTTTGAACCGGAGGGTTTGCGAAACGTCGCGTTCAACCTTAGATGCAACTTCAATGAAGCGACCTGAACTACGACATCTGATCCAAAAGTATCGATTGATCTTTCGACGGCATGCTTTGCATCCTCGCTTTGTCATTTACGTCGTGAGATAGCGTCGTTCGTCTTGAGCTAGGAAAGAGCACATTTATGTGCGATATGCGTCTCCAAGGCGATGCTGCTGCACGTTGTTGTCGTACATTTACACCAAATCGGCTCCGTATCGTAAAAGATCGCGCAGAATTTCATTTCTTAGTCTTTAGGGTCGCGTTGTTTACAATACCATAACTCACCAATTCAGAGAGGGAACAGGTGGCCTATCGCACCTCAGCGCATTCCGTGGGTCATCGCTCCGCACGCCATCTGAGGGCCATACCATGCACCGGTACTGCTGGGATGTTGTTGCCATGTTTTTGTGCATCCAAAATCGCTAAGCTACTGCACCATCGCAATCGACGTACGCCATAAAGTGATGCTGCGCGTCCATTCTGCGTGCCAATGAATTCTGCCTCACCGATCAATCCTTCAAATCGATCTTGTGAGGACGGCGCGTCGATTCACCAACTTGGTGGACGCCAGACAGGCGTACGGTGCTAATCCCACGGCATTATCTTGTCAACACTGACGTGAGATGGTCGTGATTGCGGTATGTGTGTCAATTGATGTAGAGAAAATGGTCGCGGGTACTCGAGGGCATGTGCGCGACGCCCGATCAACCTGGAATGGATGAGTAGAAGCCCCTGTGCAGACGATGCTTCGGGTCGTTGATAGACTCGACGTGTATAATCGATGCAAGACTACGTCATCGAGTTGAGAGCACCAAACGAAACGTCCAGTCTTCACGTTCACTAGCCACAACGCAGCGTTAATACCTCACCTGCTTTTCTACAGGATATGGCAAAGCACCGTGTCCGCGCTATGTTACCCACCCAGTCCATTCGGAGCCATGATCACGCCATGTAGCGCTGGATGGTATCGGAAGCCGCCCATGCCGCAAAAAGCCCGCAAAACGCCATCCCACGAGTATCCACCAGAGGTGCACCGGGCGTCCACGGTCACAGTAGTAACGTGCAGCTGCACTGTGTACAGAACGGATCAGGTCCGCGGCAGTATCTTTTACCCACCTTTGGACCAAGGAACGCGCTGGTACAAGGCGCAGTCGCTGCAGAAGGCTGGAACTCACACGCCCGATCGATTGCTGTGTCCTAGCTTGCAAGAACGAGGACAAGGAGCGCTATGACCTATCCGGGTACCGTTGCACTGTCCGTCGACTCATCGGGGGTAGAGTAGTACGCTCGGACTCTGGTTCCTTCAACGCGTGCAAGTTGGTCATCGACGTGGCGTGGTCACGGCGGGGGCAGAATGCGATGTGCAACTCGTGCGGTAGTAATGGCGTCCGGTGGCATCCCTCGAACGCGACCTCGTTTTCTTCATTCTTCATCTTGCCACACACTCGATATGTCCATCACCACGTGCTATTTCAATGACTGCAACAATGCGGCGCTCAGCGACAGCTCCAAGTGC